TATTGCTTAAAGAAGGGAATTAGAAAAAAAGTTAAAGTCATCACGTTTATCATAGAGCTTGGTTGTTAGATTACCATTAACGTCTTCTTCAATTAAAATATCCAAATATAAAACAGATAAATATTTAAGCTGTTGATTTTGGTAAACTCTTGTGATTCCAATTATTAAAATGAAAGTCAGGTATTGTACATGTGCTGTTATGTTATTCAGGGTTTCATTTTCTTGATATCACTCGACTTATTTCAGGTAGAAAAGCCTGTGTTATATTTCAGTTTCATCTTCAAGGAGACAGGTTTGGCATAAACTTAAATAAAACTGTGTGACCTAATTGTGTATCTCTTCATTTATTATAACAATTCTTTATTCTGTACCCCCTAACCTAGTGACGAAAGTTGTACATGTCAATATCAATATTGTACTTGTTAAATTAAAACAATATTGATAAAAAAAAAAATAACTTAGTTTATCTTCAATATTCTGTATTAACCTTATCTGATTTTTTTTGTAGCCATTGTAGTTAGCAGCTGAATATATACAATTCAAAAAATTAAAGTAGATTAAATTGATACTACGTAAATTAAACACATTTGATTATACCTTGTATCCTGACAATAAGAAGTAAGAAGTAAGATAAATTTTCGATCAAAATAAAAAAGTCCTGCAATAGGTCAATATCTTTAAAAAGTTTGGGATTTAATCATTACATACATAATACCTAAATTATACACCTGTATGGTATCAAAATAAATCAGATTTGATTTTTTTAAAAATTTAATATATATGACATTTCCTCAACAATGTCGTAAAAGATATGATTTTGTGTGACTGAGTGGGGATCTGAGTCTAATATATATATATGTATATATATATATATATATATATATATATATATATATATATATATATATATATATATATATATATATATATATATATTAAAGAGAGAAAAGCACAAAGAAATTCACTTTTATAGGATACCCACCCGCCCCAGCCCTTAACTCTCCCCTTTCGGAATCTATCTCCTAGCAGTGCAGGAACAGCAGCGCGGTCGAGATTTCAACCCCGGGGGGGCGGAAGTGGGTATCCTATAAAATGAATTTCTTTGTGTTTTTTATTAATTTTTTTCACTTAGGGCAGTTATATTAGTTAAGAGTTGTTGTAAAATGGCTTTTAAATAATAATTAATTTCATTACAACATGTATTGGTAACAATCCTCTGTTAAAACTAATGTCCAAATAACCTTTACCCATTTTTTCAATGACCGTGTATTTGGGGCAGGCCGGTTTCCATGGCATCAAAGCAATTTTTTTGTTTGCCTAATAGCCGAGCGGTCTAGCGCGCTGTTCCTGCACTGCTGGGATAGATTCCGAAGGTCGAGAGTTCAACCCCGGGCGGGGGCGCAAGTGGGTATCCATATAAAAGTGAATTTCTTTGTGCTTTCTATATTAATATTTCATCACTGTTAAGAGTTGTTGTAAAATGTGCTTTATATATATATATATATATATATATATATATATATTTTTGTTATATACCTATCAATTGCCTTATTTTTTTTACTGTTAATTTTACAGAGTTTGATCCGATTTTCCGGATCACCACACTGTGGTTTTCTAAATCCATATCACCAGTCTCTGAAACTGATTATGTAGTACGCAAAAACATTACGTTATTTTTCTTGCGCGTTAAAAAGTCCCTAGTTATTATGCATTGTTTTATAAATAAATATTATACAATTGATCTCTAAATTTTTTCGCATATTTAGCTAGTTATAAGGGGGTACATAATAAATTTATCATTATAACAGTAACTTGATCCGATGGGTCTTAGCGATTTGACAGGCGCGGATCATCAGATCTAACGAGACGCGAAGACAATTGAGCATAATTGTTGTAAAAATTGTACTTATTATTTTCATTCTACAGTTTTCCTGCAAAGTTTGACTATGACGTCACAAAAGACGTTTGTATGTAATGTTCAGCTTATTATGACGTTATGTTTGCAATGTTACGTATTATAAAGCTTCTGAAGATTTGAAATGAAAGCGCATAAGCTAAACTAAAGGTTTTCGTGTTTCTTTTTTTAAAAAAAAATTTACCTGTAAACTACCGAGCACTGTGGATTTTTTTTTTTGTTTTTTATATATATATATATATATATATATATATATATATATATATATATATATATATATATATATATATATATATATATATATAAAAGTGGGTATCATGTAAAAGTGAATTTCTTTTTGCTTTCTATATTAGTATTTCTTTACTTAGGGCAGTTATGTTAGTTTAAGAGTTGTTGTAAAATGTGCTAAAAAAAAAAAAAATATATATATATATATATATATATATATATATATATATATATATATATATATATATATATATATATATATATATATATATATATATGAATTTTTTTTTTCTGTGGACTCTGTAGAACATTCTTACAAATTTTAAGCCCTGCTAAGAATTCGAGGAATTCGTACGGACTTCTTTGTACCCGGAAGTAACTGGGACTATATATAATGCGAATACACATTTCAAACCTTACATTATTCAATTTAAGGTTTTAAAACTCTTGGCATATCGCTTTTCGTTTTATTTGTCTTGGATTGAAGTCTCTCTAAACTATGCAGACGGTTGTTTTAATTACGTATTTTGTTTTTGTTGTTCCTCAGACATTTTCTTTAACCTTAAATGATATTTAAAAGGAGTTAATTGTATCTTTTACAACAATGGGTTACTGGTTACGTATACGTACATAAAGTTATCTTATGTAAACGTTAAAATATTAGAGGGCCAAAGTTAAGGAAACCCCTATCTTTCAAAGGGGGTTGTACATGTTATATCATAAATATTATGAATTCTGTAGAAGATTAACCCAAGCTATGGGCAACATATGAAAAAAGACCTTTATGCTTTGTCAGAATGGACTAAATGTATCAAACTGGTGTTGAAATTTCACTTTAGGGGCAATATAAAAACTACATATCCATCTTCCTTCGATTTTGCAGTAATGAAGATGTACTGTGCAACATTATATTTGAGAAGTGGTGTAAATGAGAAGGGAATACTCAAAAATTCCAAGAAACTTTTAGAAAATTTGAAATGACAAGAATTTACAAAAAAATCACCTGTTTAAAATCTTACCTCTTTGTAGCTATATACACAACCATTCCCCATGATAAATTAGAGTTCAGGCTTTTTATATCATTGACAGCTGCTTCTATAAAAAAAAATCTTAGGATTCTGATTGAAATCATCTATGTTGTTTTTGGAGACAAAGTCTTTCAATAATCTATTGGAATTCTCAAGGGTACCATTTGCGCCCCGTTATTAACAGTCTTATTTTTATATTCATATGAAACTGGATTTGTGCAAAATTTTATGCGTGAAAAGAAGAAAACACTTGCTATGACCTTCAACTCGACATTTAGATATATCGACGACGTATTGTCAAGTGTTTCTTCGAGATTTCTTCGAGAAATAACCGCATCAAATACTCCAATTAGACGTACTGACTCCACAACTGTCATTTATCAAGAAGTATAAAAATTAAATTATCCTCGTCAGTAGGTAATGTACATGTACTTTTATGTTATTCGGGGTATCATTTTCTTGCTATCACTCGACTTTTATTTCACGTACAAAACCCTGTGTTGTATTTCAGTTTCATCTCTTCAAGGAGACATGACTGTGGCAGCTGATCTCAAGTAAACTCTGTGAACTTATTGTATATCTCTTCATATATAATAAAAATGCTTTATTCTGTACCCTCTAAGCTGGTGACATTAGGTCGTACATGAATGACAATGATTGAAGCAGCTGAATTCAAACAATATTGATTACACAAGAAAATGACTTTATCTTTAATATTCTAGATCTATCTTTTTACCTTAAAGTTATCTGATAACTTCGAATAATAATTCTTTTTGTGCAATTTATTTCTAGTCATTGTAGATTGGAGCTGAATATATTCAATTCTGAATATACACTGTACCTTAGAATTAACGTAGAATAAATTGATACTACGTAATTGATACTACGTAAAATAAACACATTTTGATTACAGCTTGTATTCCTGATGATAAGAAGTACGACAAATTTTCAATGAAAGTAAAACAAATCTTGTAATGTTTCCATATATCTTTAAAACATTGAGATTTAATACGTTGAATACACAATATTTCAAACATAATTTTTTTACAAATGTTAGTACAATTTAACAATGATTATGTATAATCTTACATTCTATACCAGATAATTGTTTAAATGAACAATTGATGATATTCATAATATTATGTGCCTTTGCCAATTATTATAATTGTGTTTGTGCCAATAAATATATGTACTTGTATTTAAACTCTACACCTTGAAGATACAAAATGAATAAGATTTGATTTCCAGTGGCGGATTCAAGGGGGGCGCACCCGGCCTCCCCTAAAATTGTCAAAATTAACGTAAATCATAGTTTCGTCTAGAAAATGTAAATATGTATACTTGGTAGACCTCATTTTTACCCTAAAAAATCTCTAGAATCCAGGAGCTTCACTGGGGGGCCTCAAGGCGGCCCCAGACCCTTGCCTACTTTTGGCGCCCCCTCCCTAACTTCTATTCCTGGATCCGCGCCTGATTTCTTAATTTAATTTATATAAAATTTACCTCAACAAAATAAAGTTAAATATAATACACTTTTCAGAAAACGTTTGTGTCTAGTTTGGAACTTACTCTTACTTATTGTTTTAATGCATTTTTTGTCTGTGGATACAGTTGAAAATCTTAACAAAATCCCTTCAGAGATTTTTATTCAATGTTTGCTCAGAAATAACAAAAGAATAAAGGGCGCGAGGAATTCTAACACGCGTCGTGTACCAGGAAGTAACTTTGGACTATATGTTATGCAATTACACATTCAGGGGTGTTTCAAACGTTTAAATTATTCAATTTAAGGTATTAAAACCCATCGCATATCGGTTTTCGTCCTATTTGTCTTGGATTGAAGTATCTTAAAACTATGCAGACGGATTTTTTAATTACGTGTTTTGTTTTTGTTGTTCCTCAGACATTTTCTTTAACCTTACATGACTTTTTCCCATTTGGAAGCCAGCATGGGGACACAGACATGGCCAAAAATGATGATGGAAGTACTGGTGATATAACTATATCAACACTTTTCCCATTCTTTAATCACCAGCACCCAAAACTCATTGTAAGTACTTTTTAAAAATTAATTAGTATACGTTTTAATCACCAGCACCCAAAACTCATTGTAAGTACATCTTTAAAAATAATTAGTATAAGTTTTATTTTATGAAATGGAAATATAGATATTTTTTCATTTTCATGTAATAAATTAAGTGAAAATAGAACATGTATTCTTGCTCCTATCCGTTTAAATTGTTTAATTTAAAAAAAATATTCTTAAAAATTAGTATCGGACTATAAATGAAATATATGGAGATAACGGAGAGTATTCAAGCTCAGAAATACACTAAACAATACAAAATTGAAGCAGAGCAAACATGGACCCCAAAACATCGGAGGTTGGATATTAGATGCTAAGGTAGGGGTGAGCATCCCTTGCAGACCGTCACATCCGCCCTATGCTCCTTATCATGATCGGGAAATAACAGAAAATCTGTCGACAATTCAGTGTGTAAATCAGCATTTGGCTTAATGATAAATCATATTCGCTCACAAGATCATTGTATTGATTATAGAACTTACGAAATGATGACTTAAACTAAACTGCTCATATTCTTGATAAAATTTAACAAATACACCGTACATCATTAAGCAAAATCGATAACTATTTCAAACTTGATATAAGCCAAACGTATGTAGTGTTATTTATACCGCACACAGTTTTAAAAAAATACTGTTAACAAATTGTACATGACTCAGAGTTAAAAATATGCATTTAGAACTATTAGGTAATTTCCATTGATTGAATTCCGTTGCAATATTTTTATCTACCAATAGTTCTGGAGAATTGACAAAACCAATCATTAGAAAATCGACGGTTGGAAATGGCTGCTGTTTTGTTAAATTAATTCCTTCGAGGCTCTCTCTAGTGACTTGCTCAATGTTTAATGCTAAAAAGGTTTTTGTATTAAAAATTATTTAATGAATACAAGCAAATAAAATAAAAAAATAATAAAAATAAACACTAAATTAAAAAATAAAGTAAAAGAAAAAGACCAATAGAATACAAACATGTATATAAAATGTTATTCTTGATTGTAAATATGATCTTTTAGATATAGAGTTTGGTTCAGGTAATCTAATTTTTTAACTTCTAGGTAAAATATCATCTCCAATTACTGTTATCAGTTTCACACACAGGTTACTGTACAATGATAAATGTATCATTCAACGTATAATAAAAAGAACTATATGTGGTATATTGCATATATTTGCCCCCTCAAAAGTCAAATTTTGAAAACTTCCTGAAATGTGCTGAATTCACTAAATTGTATGAGAAATATAAATTAACAGAAAATATTATAGTGTCAAAGCAGTGTATTCACAATTTTTGTTTTTATGACGTCACAAACTAGTCCGATTTTATATCCTTTTTCAGAAAGAGGACAAAATGGACAAAATTTCAACAATTTTAGCTTTAAAATTTATAGAGCGCAAGTTTGTTCAGGAAAAATATTGACATATTTCATTGATATTATAATTCTACACATTATATCAAAATATTGATCCTGAACACACATGCGCTCGGTGATTTTTACTCAAAATATCGTCGAAATATGTACATTTTTCTGTAAAATTCATAAAATACTGAAATTTACGTCATGTTTGTGACGTCATTACGTACATATATTGGCGTCATTACTCATGAAAATATTCAGTGCTTTGAAGTCACCATATATTTCCCTGTTTAAGAACTTAATTAAATATATCTCCATCAAAGTTTGATTTGGGGGGCAAATATTGGTTATTACCGAATAAAGTTCTTTAAACTTCCTAAATCAGGGTTAATTTGATGCAACTTTTTTTTTCTAAGCGTATCGTGTTAAATTTCACAAATTCCGTCTACACTACTTTGCCCCAAATCTTTTTAAACAGAGAAGCAACTAATTCAGCTTTTTAATGTATAAGACAAGCTAAAAAATAATAACCAATAACAAAACAATCCTAATAAAATAAAAATAAAGCAAGAGGCCCAGGCGCTCACCTGAGTACTTTGGCAAGGGGAAAATCAGTTTAGTATTAAGGTTAGGGTTAAAAATATGCATTTAGAAGCTACTAGATAAATTCTATAACTTGCATTTCATTGCAATGCAAATATAATTTTATTTTTGACCACTTCAGAAGAAATTGACAAAACCAATCATTAGAAAATCGACGGTTGAAAGTGGCATTTTTTTTTAAAATAAAAAATAAAATATAAGTATTGCATTTGAATATACTTCTCTGTATATTTAATTAGATGTACAACAAAAACCAATCTTCCCCTAAAAGGCTAAATAATAATGAAAAACAATATAAACACAGTTGTTAAACTAATGACAAAAACTTTGAAAACTAGTGAAATATCGGAACTTTGATTTACTATAGTGAAATCTTTGGAACTTTGATTATCTATTGTGAAAACTTGGGAACTTTGATTTACTACAACTATAGTTTACTACTGTTTATATTTTAGTATTTTTTGTTAGAAGAATGGGCGAGGCCTAATTTAAATGAATTTGAATTCCATTTACCAAAGATTACACTTTGCCAAGTATTGGTGAAATTGGTTGAGTAGTTATGGGAAAAAATTTAAATTTGTCAAAATTTTACGATGACCACAAAGGCAGACAACGAACAAATTTTGATCACAAACGTTCACTTGAGCCTTTTGCTCAGATGAACTAAAACCACCCCCATCCCCAAAAAGGTGTACTAAAAGACATATAACGAGTGCTAATTCCACATTACTCTGCATTATCGAAAAAAATGCAATGAGAAGATATTTAAATGTGTTATATTTCATGTTCACAGAGACGTTTTTCTACTGATCAGTACGTTTTAACTACTGTTTTTAAAGAGAAAAAGTGAGGATGGGTATAGAAATGGATAATGGATGTGCGGGAAAAACAGGGTTGCGGCATATTTGTGGCAGATTAAGCGGGTTCCATTAAATGTTCAACCAAGCCTCTTTCTTTACTCCTCACTAAGAAAACTTCAGATGACTGTGGAACAATATATTCAAGAAGTAGTGTTAATCAGATGTGGATATCAAAAGTTCCAAAGAACTTTTGGAACATTTGAAATTACAAGGTTTTACCAAAATCAACAGCAGCTTAAAACACGACGTTTCAACTTTATACACAACCATTCCCCACGATAAATTGAAGTCCAGGTTTTTTGATATCATTAATAGCTGCTTTTTCGAAAAAATGAACTCGTAAATCTACTAACTTCTTCATTCGTCAATTGCAAAATTATCAGTACTTTGTGAAAACACATTCTGGCTTCACACACAAGTACTCTAAAGTTGACATCAAGAATCTTGAATTTCTGATTGACAATACCTATGGTTTTTGGAGATCAGGTCTTCCAACAATCTATTGGAATTCCCATGGGTACCAATTGCGCTCTGTTATTAGCAGACCTATTTTTGTATTCACACGAAGCAGAGTTTATGCAAAATCTTATGCGTGAAAAGAAGAAAACACTTGCTGTGGCCTTCAACTCAACATTAAGATATATCGACGACGTATTGTCAATTAACAATGGTAATTTCCATTCATATTTCGTTACAATACATCCTGGTGAGCTTGAGATAAAAAATATTACAGAGTCTGACACATCTGTTACAAATATGGATATTTTACTTTAAAAAAAAGACGTTAATGGTAATCTAACAACCAAGCTCTATGATCAACGTGATGATTTTAACTTTTCTATCGTCAACTTCCCTTACTTATGCAACAATATACATGTATATTCATCACCTGCGAACTGTGTTTATATATCTCAGTTGATTCGATACCAAAGAGCATGCTCTACGTATTCATGAACACTTTCTAAAACGAGGTAAATCATTGACAAACAAGTTGATGAAACACGAACATCAGCAGTCTTGTTTAAAGTCATCATTTCGTAAGTTCTTTGGTCGATACAATGACCTTGTCAGCAAATACAATTTATCATTGAGTCAAATGCTGAATCACGTTTTTCATACTAATTGTTAGTCCATTATCCATACACGGAATTGACGACGGATATTCCCGTTATTTCCCGATCACGACAAGGAGCACACGACGGGTGTGACCGGTCAGCAGGGGATGCTCACTCCTCCATGGCACCTGATCCCATCTCTGATTTGTATTGTTTTATGGACTTTCGATCTTGAATACTGTTTGTTATCTCCACATCCTTCACACAGATCAATATATTCTTTCAAAACGTATGCAAGTTTAGTTACTCAATTAAAAATATTTATTAAGACAAATGAAACTAGTGCTAATTGTAACGGGGACCGTTACAGATGTTCCCCAAACGCTCCCCATGTCCCTTATCGTGCCTTTTTCTTCTAAGACCTTTTATAAATATGCTAAGTATCCCAAGATTTCATTTAAGAATATAAAAGTTAATGATATCAACTATCAACGATATATTGTTTAACGTTTTGCATGCGCGCACACGTACATGTACATGCATATACAAGATGATTATAGCATGTTGATTAAGCGATTAACATATCTTTCTATCCCACGAATCAAAGAAAAAAATACATATATAAATTTACCATTTTTCAAGCATATGTCATATTTTTAATATATCGATTAACATTTTATTTCTCTACTTATTTTAACCTCGGGCTCAAAGTTGGTTTTATTCCGACGACAAGGCAGGGTTAAAGTCGACTAAGGGTATCACGCCAATACCTAACCAATCAAAATGAACTTATTCAATAGTAGTTCCATACATGGAAAAGGGATTTTCCTTTCTGTTCAGAATTTTTTTTAATATTTCCTCTCAGGCCATTTTGACAACTCTGATACCTGTGCCTGGTAAATTTTATATACTTTGTAAATAAATATATAAAGGTTTTTTGACCGGAACTATTCATTTTTTCCAATGCATAGGGGGCTACTCTCTGGGTTTTACAAGAGATGTTTAAAAAGACATTCGTGTCAGCTAATGTGACCTATATTGTTTAACACCTTCTTATTTATATTTTTTTCATGAATGCAAATATCTGATTATTTTACGAAGGAGCGTACATGTATATTGATTTTTTATATACCGAAAATCGCTATTTCTGGGGATTGCGTAATTCTAAAAAAAAAATTCAAATAAATTTCAAAGGTAAATTAAACAGAGGATGCTTGGTATTAAAATATTATTTCAAATCAGTAGAATCGAATGCTATTAACGACATCTGAATAAATAGGCTATAAAAGGCTTATATGCCAACTTTGGTCATCTGCACTTTAATTTTAAACACGACAGGATTTGTAATTTTTTCTGTATAAATTAATAATTTCTATATACTTTGGAAACTCAAATGAAATATTTTAATACACTTTCCTCGAGCTCTTTTCTGCAGTTTTCCTGAAATTTTATGTGGGTCCGAGGTGTTATTTGAGTTTAACAGTGATTCTCTACGTTGCCATTAATTTGATTTGTTTGTGGGTGTGTGGGGTGGGGGGGGGTGGGGGTGGGGAGGGGGGTATTTTTATTTTTAACCTATTTAACGTTGGAGTTGAATCTTGTATCTTACTCCAAGAATTTAAGATTGATTGTGACATTTGGATGAAAGGTCAAGGTCATTAAAAACCACCACCTCTTTAACTTCTATCCTGCCAACCGAAATAAACTCTGAAAGGTGTTTCTAGATACATGTACAATTCATGTACTTCATGTTTCTTTTTACCCTTGGGTCAAGGACAAAGGTTAAGGTCGATTTCAAGTTCATAGGTCAAGGTGATTTTGGTAAATAAATAATATCAACATTTCATTCAGGTTACCAGTGACCTTGACCTAAGTTTCAAAGTCAAGGGTAAAAAGATCTGCATGCTTCAGTATGTTACATGTCTTGACATTTAGAAGTTCTTAATTCTGCATGAACATCAAACACTCAAGTATACTGTCTTTTAATACATTGTGTGCGGTCGCATGTGCATGCACGTCCATGTATTTACTTTTGATAGTAGTATAATGTAGGCAATCATTATATCTATTCATATTTGAAATTTCACCCTGTATTATTGAGAACCAAGAAAGTTGTAGGCATTTAAATTTTTAGCCAATCAGATTGCAGCACACGTGCATGTGCGTGCGTTCATGATTATTCTTATATATCCTGCTGTAGATCTTCATAATGTAAGACTATGTTCAAAATTTCAAAGGATTTTGTCAGAAAACAAAATAGATTTTTAGACTTTAAGTTTCAGCCAATCGCAGCGAAGGGCACCTGCATGCGCGTGAGATCTTGCTATTTTGACCATGTCATCATGTCTATACTACTATTATATCCTTATATTATGAGTTTCAAAGCATTTCATCCAATATTTAAAAAGTTACGGCTAAATCTATTATATTGGTCATTTCACGTGTTACACGTGCGCGCACCTGCACGCACGTGCGCGCAAAATGACCTTCGTTCCGCACATCTACATAACATACCTAGTGACCCTAAAAAGGTTTCACCTAGATCGGATGAGTAGTTTACGAGAACACTCGCGGACAAAAAAGTACCGGAGAACAAAGAAAAAATTCAGAAAAAGTAAAAACAATATGTTCCCAAACTTCGTTTGGGGAACATAATAAACGAGTATTTGGATAATTTTCATCAGGAATTGGTTTTATCTATATAACAATGATATATTGATATATACTTTTCATTTTTTACATTTTTTCAGTCGAAATAATTCTAATAATTATATAAATGTCGGTTTATACAGGTTAACACAAATGGAGTGGTTTCATTTCTACAAACTGTCAGTACATACACACCTAACCCATTCCCCATTGCCAATGACGCGAGGATGATAGCACCATTTTGGGCAGATGTGGACACGAGAAACGGAGGTAGAGTTTGGTACAGAGAAACCGTAAATTCTACCCTACTTGACAGAGCCAGCGAAGAGGTCCGAGCTTATTTCCCCAGATTCTTCAGATTCAGAGCTTCGTGGATATTTATTGCTACCTGGGATAGAGTCGCATACTACGGCTGTGACAGTCCTTGTTCAAAGGTTCATATGAATTGATTTTTTTCCAATACACTTTTAATCTCGTTTAAGGCACGTATTATCATTTGAAAGGATGGAAACAGTTGGCAAAATGATAATTTAACAAAAAAAAGTTAGAAAGGAAAATAAAACGTATTTAGTCGTTTCAAGTCTCTTGTATTGAACCAAAATACAATGATTGCATTGAAACATTTCTGACCTCAAATGAAGTTTTCATGTGACAGTGATACAAATTAGAATTAGGAATTTTGATAAATGCAACTTATCGTCCTATAATAAGAAATGACATAAAATTTATTAAATGCCTTACTCTCTACATAGATATCTAATATAGATATATTAACAAATTATCCACAACCAACTCTTAGACTTTTAAAAAACATTTCAGACAAACACATTTCAAGCAGTTTTGATAACCAATGGACAACATTCATTTACTTTATACAACTACGAGCAAATTGAATGGACGACGGGTACAGCAAGTGGTGGTAATGCTACGACTGGACTTGGAGGAACTCCTGCTCAGGTCTGACCTTATAATTAATAATATTTTAGTGTATGTCACAATGCTTTATACGCAAATTATGTAAACGATTTCTATAAATTGTTAGACATTTTATTCAAAAATTCTAAAAATATCTGGACCCCCCCCACTTTTTTCCCCAAAAATATATTTACTATTTAAAAAGTTCCTTGAAAGTTTGCCCCCCCCCCCCCCCCCACTTCTCACCGCAGTGTATTGATATCAAGGAAATGTACTATTGTATGCTGAAAAAATCGGTAGCGGAAGGAAGTTGGAATTGAAAAAAAGTTTGCCCCCACCCCCACCCAACGAAATAGGATTTTCAAGTTTGGGCAACTCCATTTTTTTTTTGCTTGTCAACTTTTGGAGGGGTAAGTAATTTTTTTTCTCTGGCTGCCCCCCCCCCCTACACTTTCAAAAACGATGCTACATGCCTGATTTGATGTCTTAATTTTCTGGTAAATATCCAAATGTAAAACAGGCATGTCAGACTATGTGGTATCTTTTAACTCCACAGAGAGATATTGTTTCAAGGTAGGAACAAAAATGACAACTGTTTATAGATATTTCTTAATGTTAAATTGAAGGCCACAATATTTTGATTTTACTTTTCATGTAAATTTTTTTAAAACATTAAATAGAATGATTTTGGAATACGTAAAGCATTTCTTCTCTTTAAAGGTTGGCTTTAATGCGGGAGATGGTATTGTGTTTTTCACGGTGAACGCATCGCGCACTATAGACATTATTAATGTTGATGAAATGTCCAATGTTGACATACCAGGAAAATTTGCATTCAGAATAGATGCTAGTGACATAACAGACGGGGGTGTAATACAAAAGGTAAGTTAATGAATGGGGACCATTTTTAATGGACCTACCGTCACGGTAGCTTAGTCGGTAGAGTGATCGCTCCATAACCCCGGGGGTTCGAAACCAGGTCGCGACTGACCAAATCGTTGATACAATAGTAAACAAGAAGGATATGAAGATAACGAACAGTATTCAATCTCAAAGTCCATAAAACAATACAAAATAAGAGCAGAGCAAACATGGACCCTGAACATCAGAGGTGGGATCAGGTGCCATGGAGGAGTGAGCATCCCCTGCCGACCGGTGTCGCATAATATTCGTTCCGGGTATTTCACGTTCCGGCCGGAACCTTAAAATCATAATATTGGTTCCGGATTTTACTGTAATATAGGTTCCGGCCATGAGTTCAATCTTCGAATCGCGGTATCTGTCCAGATTTCATTCCACACTGAGTCATGGAATTAGTGGGGGTTTTTTCTTGAGGTTTTAGCATCACGCAGCGACATTCTATTTTCGTGCGTCGCGCAATGTTTTGTACTTAGCAATTTTAAAAAATAGATGAATAAATAGCCTGATGATACTCTTTCTGATACATATGACTTTGGTCCCATTATAAGGTTTTGTTTATCTTATGTATACAAATCGGTTATCTACAACTCAATTCCTTTTGTTTATTTAGTGCATGCCAGGTGTGAATCTCTCGCTTCAATGCACGCAAACCCGTAAAGACAGGTTAAGAGCATGGTTATGAGATAAACAATTTAAGACCGGGTTTACGAAAGACTAACATTTAAAGAAACACAATGTCAAAGAATTAATTAATTGATAATTTTTTTTATTTCTGAATTCGATAAAAGTAAAGAACAAATATTGATAATTATATATTTACGGAATTAAATTCTCTGTTTAAATGATATTACACGACTTGTCAGTCGAGGCTCAAACACGGCTTCCATTCCTCATAATTAAAGATTTTTTTTCATAATTAGATATTATTGATGAAATGGCATAGTTTATATTCCATTTGAAATATGTATATGATTCACTGTTGAAGAATGTTACGTATATGGTTTATTTTCTTCTAAATTAATCTTCATACTACATGTAGGTACAGTACATGTATTTCATGATGATATGATTTATTCTGTAATGAAATAAACATGAAAACATAAGAATACGAGTATGGTTTATTCCCTTTAATACCAAAAAGCCAAGCACGTGTAGTTAATGAAAATGATAATTTTTTTAATCGTCGGAAGAAAAAAAATAGTAATTGAGATATGAAAAGTAAAGACAATATATGTTGACTGGCTCGGCTTTTTATTTAATACGATCAAATAAAAATTAATTTTTTTCTTTTCTTTTCTTTCGTCTTTTTTTTTTTTTTTTTTTTTTGCTATTTGTTTGTTTTAAAGGAATTAAAATGCACATTAGTGTTACCTCGAGGAATGTCCTAACCACCAACCGCTTAAGATATGTGGTAAAAATAATTATTTCTGCATGGGTGTTTGAATACATAAAACACGATGAAGTTGGTAAAAATATGATCGTTTTATACATGCCATTCATAGGCGTCAGAACCGGAGGGGGTGGGAGTAGGGAGGCTTAGCCCCCACTTTTTTTTGCAAAAATAGGCATAATATAGACATCGTACATCGAGGCGTAGGTTTACCCCCCCCCCCCCCCCCCCCCCCCCCCACACACACACACACGGAACCAAAAATTATGGTAATAATAAACGTTCCGGGTTGCAATTACTGAAAGATATTTCATATATTTTAGCTACTTAGTTGTTTCTTTTCCATTTTGTTACGAAGCTAAGTTAGCCCGGAACCAAAAATTATGCTCATAATAAACGTTCCGGGTTGCATTTACTGAAAGATATTTCTTATATTTTAGCTACTAAGTTGTTTGTTTTCCAGTTTTTGACGAAGCCAAGTTAGCCCGGAACCAAAAATTATGCTCATAATAAACGTTCCGGGTTGCAATTACTTAAAGATATTTCATATATTTTAGCTACTAAGTTGTTTGTTTTCCAGTTTTTGACGAAGCCAAGTTAGCCCGGAACTAAAAATTATGGTCATAATAAAATTTCCGGGTTGCAATTACTGAAAGATATTTCATATATTTTAGCTATTTAGTTGTTTGTTTTCCAGTTTTTGACGAAGCCAAGTTAGCCCGGAACCAAAAATTATGGTCATAATAAACGTTCCGGGTTGCAATTACTGAAAGATATTTCATATATTTTAGCTACTAAGTTGTTTGTTTTCCAGTTTTTGACGAAGCCAATAGCAAGTTAGCCTGGAACCAAAAATTATGCTCATAATAAACGTTCCGGGTTGCAATTACTGAAAGATATTTCATATATTTTCCGGGTTGCAATTACTGAAAGATATTTCATATCTATTTGCAACTCAGTTGTTTTTCCCCAGTGTTTGACAAAGCCAAGTTAGCCCGGAACCAAGAATCATGGTCATGCTTAACGTTCCGGGATGTAATAACTCATAGATATTTCATATTTTTGTTACTTAGTTATTTGTTTTCCATTTTGTTACGAAGCTAAGTTAGCCCGGAACCAAAAATTATGGTCATAATAAACGTTCCGGGATGCAATTACTGAACTTCCTATTTCAAGTTATCATCACGTGTAGATGTAGAAGGGGCTGGGGTGGTAGCTCCCCCTTAGTCACTTAAAGAATTTAGTTAAAACAATCGAATTAAATTTTGATCCACTCGCATACTCGCATCCCTTAGTGTAGCTACTAGCGAGTATGCAAGCAAATCTAGCATCTAAAACCATATTCGAATACATGTTTTGTATAATCATATATGTGACCCCCCCTCCCCCCCCAAAAAAAATCAGGTTTGGAGACGATTAAAGATTTTATTTTCCTTATTTATTAAGAACATTTCTGAGTTAGTACTTCTTTATTGGGTGTATCCCTAGTCCTTTTTTTAGAAGCATGTTTTAATTTAAGACTGACATGTTTAAGTATTTTTTTAAAATTCATTTTAATCGATTTCTATTGCATACATATACCTTTAGCAGATTAGTCCATTTTTATCCAAGTTTTGTGTAAAAAAAAGAGATTGATATAATAGAGTTATTTGTGTACAATCTAATTTACATTTAGCAGAAACAGAAAAACGGAGCTACATGACAATATACAAGTAACTTTTCTTTGTGTTATAGTTGTTTGTATTATTGGATAAGTATTTTAGAAAAGATATAAGGCATACATGTAACATCGTTTCTTGTTCTTTGTCCAAGTTGATCAACAAACTCTCTCTCTCTCTCTCTTCCACGAAGAGGAAGTCACCTCTATAAACTTTCTTTAATTTTTTGAATATGTGTTGTTTCTCTGCTGTTTTAATTATTTACATCGGCTTAAACCAATAAATGCAGCAGATTGGTTTAGATCTTTTGAATGTATCCCCCCCCCATCCCTCCGTTTTTGTCCCAATAAAAAAACAATAAATTGTATATTTTTATCTACTTGGAAAGGGCTTGAATAAATCTTTTTTGATGTTTTAATCTTTAAATGCATACATGTCAATGAGCGCATTCTTATTAACTGTTCTCTCCATTTCTATTTGTACAGGTATATACATATATTCACACGGTATGATGTTCATAAATGGATTTAGTTCATTAAAGAAATCATTAATTTACAGTATATAGTTGATTTATTTACACAAAAAACATTCTTAATTGTTTTCCTGACACCAGCGTTTCTTAAAATCACCTAAGATATGACAGGTCCGCAGTCATCTTAAAGTTAGGACTAAGATTAGGAGGTCTCCTAAGATAGGATAGCTTCGATGGCCTCACTTAAGACTAAGATATGTCGAAAGTTCGTCTTAAGAGATGTCTTAGTCCTAAGATTCTTCATAAGCATGCCTGCAGGTTTTCATTTTAAATTAAGATTTTACATTCCCATCGAGTTCTAGAGGGGAAATACACGTTTTATCAGAATGAATTAAAGAGAAACCTTTTCTTTTTTCCAAATAATTATAGTTTTTGAAAGTTGGTAAAAAAAAATCTATTATATCTATAGGAAAAGTCATTCAAAGATGTCTTTTGAAAAATCAGGTAGGCGATAGAACAAACGTTCGCGGTTGCCTTCCCCACTAAGACTCCTTTGTTTGTTGAACACATTCAACAAATTGTTAATTAAAATATAGAAAATTTTATACCAAGCAAATCAAGTTTTTTGTCTACTGTTCACTGCAGGGGAAGGGGGGGGGGGGGTGAGTGAGCAGACTTCACAATGCTATTCATATAAATAGTAAAATACAGATCTGTGTCTGTAATACATTTCTTCTTCAGTGTTATTTTTACTAATAAATACAAATGTACTTGTACTTACGTGCATAAATAAAAATGAGTTGAATTTTATTCAAACGTTTTTAGCCGTTTAATTGAAACATTTCCAAGTTGAATTTTGTTGACATATAACATTAAAATAAAAAAAAAAACTTCACCTGACGAAGAAAAATAATCAAAAAACGGGAAACACTTTTCCTTCGTATTAAATGCTTAAATTATAAATTCTCTTTTTAGATCCGGCATGCACTCGTTTCCCATTATGTTCTTGTATTTTAATTTATTTTATATTTGGTTTAAAGAAACGCAACTACATGTATGGGTGTTTAAAAAATTGTAAGGAAATTAAAATATTATTCCTAATAATTAAAGTATTTTATGGTAAATATAATTAATCTATCACCATTATCATCTGATCAGGGTGGTCATGTGTGCTTACGGCGATTCGCAAGACTGAGCAATTATTCGTATCGATAGAAGCCAAGTCTATCGTAAAACAGCACGATGGGGGGTATATCAATGTAAACAAGTTTCACACCTTCTTTTGTTTACAAAGAATCAAAATAATCAACTGGAATTTCATGGATTAATATAATATTTAAATCAGAGACATCAATAAATATATAATGTCTCTGGTAAAAAGACCGCATATTCTGACTTGAAATGTAAACACATATGTATGTCTTACGATTAAATCCTGCTGTATCATATACAAAAGTATAAAAGAAAGAAGAATATTAGAATTAACAGCCAATATTAAATATAAATAGAGAGTTTAATAGGGTGCTTGGTTGCCCGGAACGTTTTTTACGGCCGGAACCAATCTTACGCGGGCCGGAACGTTTATTATGGCCCGGAACCAATATTATAGGTATTTAGCGTTCCGGCCGGAACGCCAAGTTACCCGGAACGTATATTATGCGACACCGGTCACACCCGCCGTGTGCTCCTTGTCACGATCACGAAATAACGGGAAAAAACCCGTCGTCAATTCAGTGTATAAATAATGGACTAACAATTGGTACGAAAAAAGTCAGTCAGCATTTGACTCAGTGATAAATTGTATTTGCTGACTAGGTCATTGTATCGACCATAGAACTTACGAAATGATGACTTTAAACGAAACTGTTGATAGTCTTTTTTTATCAACAAGTTGAAGATAGCAAAGTTGAAGTCATCACGTTGATCATAGAGCTTGGTTGTTAGATTCCCATTAACGTCTTTTCCAAGTAAAATATCTAAGTATGAAACAGATGTGTCAGACTCTGTAATATCTTTTTATCTCAGCTCACCAGGATGTATTGTATTGACATATGAATGGAAATTATCATTGTTAATTTACAGTACGTCGTCGATATATCTTAATGTTGGGTTGAAGGCCAAATCAAGTGTTTTCTTCTTTTCACGCATAAGATTTTGCATAAATTCTGCTCATATGAAAATAAAAATAAGTCTGCTAATAACGGAGCGCAATTTGTACCCATGGGAATTCCAATAGATTGTTGGAAACAAACATTTCTGTTCCTTTGCAATGCTCTTGGCACTTTGAAGTGAAAGTGCTGGTCTTTTGGATTAGACCTTAAAAAACCGAGATCTCGTGTCACGTAAGGCGTTGGAACGATGAAAAAAAAGTTTCACTGCTCAATGGCCCAGAGTGCCGAGTAAAGGTCCCTCCAACGGTATATGGTGACGTCTCTATAATTATGAGTGAAGATTATCGACAGGGACATAATCAAAATGGAGCTTAGTATGCATCGCAAACCATCTTCATCATTAGGGAATCTCTGAACAACTGTTTGATGATTCAGGGCGTGTAATATAGAGCGCGTCCATGTGTTTACATCAGGGAGGAAATTTTTTTACAACAAATATATCCTAAACAGCCTAGCACCTAAAAAAAGTACTAGATACAATGTTATACTGGTATGTCATTTTTACAATGAAGTGCATGCATAAGTGGTAAAACTTTCATTTGAATGAAAAAGTTGAAGTTTTCTTATTGAATGCCACTTCTTACATAATTATTACATAATTTACGTTCATTTCTTTAGAAAAGAGAAAGAAATATTCGCCCAATGCTTATTTTAGAACACCTCACTTTTCGCGACGAATTATGAATTTATCTTGTTTATTGAAGTTACCATAACACATGAATCTGTCAAACACGTGCTTATTCGGTTTTGCTGTAGACCGTCAATGTAATTTATAATTGGCTTTTGGAATTATATCTATGGAATATCTGTTTAACAGGTATTCAAGTGAACCATTTGACTAAGAAATGAGCTTTTCATTATATAAATGGTGCCTGTTTTGGAGGGTAAAAGTTGATATTGACATCCCAAGGAAAACCACTGTCAACCGACGCGTCAGCGGAGGTTGACAACTTGTGGATATAAATTAGATACCCCCCAAAAACGGCGCCGTTTATTTTATTATACTGAATGTCTTCTTGATTTACTATGTCAGCAATACAAATCATTAATAGCCTTTTCGTTTACGTTTAGAAAGCTTTCAAACTCCCTGCTACTTCGAAAATGATTTACTGGCCTCTTTATTGTTTATTTGATACTCTACGAGTCCTTTATCATCTAAAGTTTCGTTATTTCTCCACTCCAAGCATGTTTCGTCTGTCGTTTGTTGTTTTCAAGTAAGCTACATCGGACGCAAACTTTTATTGACGTCAAGTTTATTCTGGTTCTTTCAAACGCGCAACTGACGTTTTGAGAATTCTACGGTGAACCGTACGCGCATAATTTCCACGCATGTGGCATTACCGTTGTGTTACCCATTGTCACGTGTGTTGCTAAGGCCGAGTGTAATAGAACAGATTGTTAACTGCGTCTAAACCAATCAGATTTTAGTATTTAACATGAAAGTATAATAATATAATATATGACAATCAACTTTCTATAGATAACACAAATCTTTCCATTCAAACAAAAAAAAAATACTATTTAAATGTGCGTCATTAGTGAATGTATTGCAATTAATCATTGAAGCAGAATTTCATATACAATGTAGTTTGAATGCGGATTTGGGGTATTTATTCAGAAATATTCCTTTTAAAATTTTACATCGTTTTGATATTGTAGGTGACCTGACTATAACCCCTCGATACGGTCCACTGTTAGGAGGGCAGTATCTTGTTCTCAGTGGTCCATGCATTGAGCCAACTGCAACCATAACAGCTACATATCTTGGGTCACCAAAAACTTACATCTGTGATCGAAAATCAGAATTTAGCATAGTATGCATAACACCAATATTCCAACACACCGGGGATGCAATTATACAGATAAAAATAGAGACTAACGGTGTGGAGAAAACATTTCGAGGTCTCTACACAATCTGTAAGTAGTTGAAGGTTATTCCTTAGTGTTTTGATTTCTCTTGTTGGTCTTCTAAAAATCTTTCCTGTTCCTATACAAGACTAACTAAGAATTAATTTAATCACCACAACCATTGAATACGCATGCGTTTTATGTGTGTGTATTGTGTATGGAATACAATTATAAGAAAAATTAAATTATCAAATTCATTTGAATGAATATATGTATAAAAGTTGATGAACAAAACCGACCTGGTTTCAGACATATTCTTTATTCCCTAAAATTATAACAGTATATTTTATAATATATAACAAACCTGAACTTTTAGTAAACCCTGCGGACAGCAAGCATCGAGTGTATAGGCATAACTCTGATGAATGGTTCGCTGGACAGAAATCAATATCATGGGAGCCAGATGCTTCAGAACTTCAGGATAATGAAACTGTCGATATACATCTTTTCTCTTTAAAAGTACGGGGAATCTTTAAATTAAATTTTTACCGTTTTACAAATGATAAATAAATTTCATGAACATATGTTAAGGTTTCTAATATTCATAATTGTCGAAAAATAATTGTTAGGAGGAAAGCGATCGTAAGTTGTCATGGAAGAGTCAGGTTGTCCTTCAAGGTGTACACCGAGCCTTAGGATCAGCAGTTATT